GGCGTAAGTATTCCTTCAAACTATTTTTTGGTGGGCAGTTTGTAACCTCAGAGCGCACGTAATTCAGTGGTTGTTATTAGTTGTCTTGGTAATTTATCTACCCAGTGCATTACTTACAAAAAATTTCGGTCAAAAATACTGTCCGAAAATAAAACCGTCCGGTATTTTTAAGCTTCCAAAATTTTAAGCGCCCAAAATATTTAAGGTACAATTATGAAGCGAACTCTAGGATGGAATATGCGTCATTTTCTTGTCGGTGTATCTCTGTAACCTTGAGGGTGCAGTAAAACTATCATTTTCACAGATAATGCTTCGGTCTTATTCGTGTTTTTCAAGCAATGTAAGGCTTTTAGTCCATAAAGCTGGCTAATTTAATACTTACATTTGTTCAACAGATTCACGGTTAACAGTACAAAATATCCAGGACATTCGTACAGCTATAACCCCTGTAGCTCATTCAAGCTAGGACCTAAGGATGGCGGCTGTCAAACGGATGTCACGGTAAGTCGGTAAACGAACAGTGTAAACAATTTAGGGTACCCCACAAATCAAGAGTGCTGTAACGAATTCTGCGCAAGGGTGCTCATGGCGCGGCACAACGAAAGAGAGAGCAAGATAAAGCAGATTGATTGCTAAAAGATTGTAAAACTGACCGACTTTCTGATATTCTGGTATCTCGTATAAGAGAATATAACCTATTTCGATCAATTCGTTTTAGATCTGTTGGTGGGTTCCGAATGGATTGCCTGAAACTTATGACACTATCGGAAACCAGGACAAGGCAAGATGTGTGGAATTCAAATCCGACATACCAAGTCTTGTGTACAGGACTGCTGGGTATGCATTGACACAAACATACACANCGACAAAACGCCCAACCAAGAGCCCGGCCGTTCGTCTGACCGATCGACAGTTCATCTGCATAAATCTGGTCACCGCTGATACTCCCTCTTGCTAAGATATCACTCTTTACAAATGGGCGTCATTGAACTTGTTTTTGAGTCATAAGCTTTTAAAGCACAAATTTAGGGTTTTATTAACAGTTCATACCTTTGCTGTAGTAACTTGTTCACCGGTGATTGAACATTTTTTTTATCCCTTTATTGAGGAGCAAGAGACGATGGTCAAGAATTGTAGTATTGATACACAAGGTAGAAGTGCTGAAAAAAGGCTGGAAACTGGTCTCAATCACCTTACAATAATTATAATCATTTATTATTATTACAATTATTTATTGCAAACTCGCAATAATTACAATTATTTTCCAGTGAGTTTAAATATAAACCGGCAACCGTTGAACTAAAGTGCGATGAAAGGAAGAAAGAAAAAGATGAAGCAGTATTTGAAATCAGCGATGAAGATAATTGGGTAAGAGCACCATGATTACATTGTATGGTTTTCTTACGAGGGATTTGCGGCACCTAGTGATTTTTTGATATAATAGTACAACTCCAAAACGTTGACAGGCGAGACTCCTGGTTTGGAGGCTTTACAGCTGCTGAAGCATCTATGTCTTTTAGCCCCTGGTTGCATTCAGGCATTGCTCTGTAATATCTTTTGCCTTTCATTTTCAGATATTCCAATTGACCCATTTGTGTTCATGTGCAAATGGTTGTCCGATTAATCCAGATACTCCAACATTAACACCAACAAAACCGCCTGACGATTGTAAGCTCAGTAAAACGGCTTCAACTAATAAACGTCATTTGACTCATCTCTGCTGATGATTAGTATTGTATGCACAGCAAAATACTTAAAGTTGTCCAAACTAGCTTTTATATATGATTACATGATTAATTCAGCAGAATTATGGAATTGATACATTTGCTATACTCCTGAAAGAGCTGTTTTTCTAACTTTAATGATAATAATTATTCTTATTGTATGGCTGGCTCCGCGAGCAGGCAATATCAATCAAATCCTGAGCAGTGATTGGCAGCCCAATCGCACAAGTTGGGGTTATCTTGCCCGCTCGGGACTAACCGCTGTGTTCTGCAAGAAAATTAAAAGAAAATGATGATGTCTTGATAGTTCATGTTTCAGTGATGAAATTATGTTGTTGCANGCAATATCAATCAAATCCTGAGCAGTGATTGGCAGCCCAATCGCACAAGTTGGGGTTATCTTGCCCGCTCAGGACTAACCGCTGTGTTCTGCAAGAAAATTAAAAGAAAATGATGATGGCACTTACTAACTTTAACAATTGGAGGAGCGGAGCACTTTCTACATTTGTAACAGTGTCGTAAAATTTCATTTCTAACCGGACCTTTTTCCACAAATTTTTATTTATTTTTTTTTTTTATTGCTAAACAACACGACACAATACTTAACCTACTTACAATACACTACATTATTGTTATTATTATTATTATTATTATTATTATTATTATTATTATTATTCTAAAAGACCATGTTTGACCATATTTCCAAACACCGAGATGAGAGTTGAAGTTACGACGCGCAGCGCAGTATTTTTGACGAACTTCGAGGTGTTTGGAAATGTGATCAAACATTGCCTTGAGTGTTTGACATATCTTCTCAATCAAAACTAAAGCTAGTGATCTCGAGTCATCGAAACGTCATTCGAAACTTTTATCACTGATTTTTATTCCTAGAAGTTGAAATCACCAAAACTTTGTGTAGCTGGTGTCCTTTATGTACGCTGGCAAGGATTTGACAATTACTGGAAATGAGTTCAGTATGGCAACTTCTGTACAAGCAGAAACAAAATGGGGACCTGGGTTTAAGATTCGTGATTTTTAGGTTTGAAGTCAATTGAAGTTCTTGGGTGAGTGTTGATAACAAGACTTTGAGCAGTATGCTTAAATAAATTTGAGAATTTTTTTTTTTGGTAGGCGGGACTGTGAGGTCTTTGTCTACTTTGGCATTAACAGGTTGTCGGAAAGTTGCCGGAAAAAGTCTTGTGACTCTTGTCGGTAGAAATCGGCCCGCCCACAAAACTGCCGCATCGCCTTTGTCGGTCGCTTTAGTGACTATACAGGTCGACTATGTGTTTGTTTTGCCAAGATTTTTTAGAAGTCGTTTGTTCCTCCTTGGATAAGTTACACAATGAAGCATGGTTGAGTTTTTGCATGTCACTGCGACTCTTTTTCAAAGGAAAGAATAAGGAAGCGAAATTGACCCTCTGGGGAGTCCATTTTAATTACGAATCATCTTTTTACGCGGTTTCGGCGTTGTCTTCTTTGTCCTGAAGAAAAGGTTAGCTCGAAGCGTCACCTTCGCTGGTTAATTTACCTCAAGCTGAAAAACAGCTAAGTTTTTTGATTGCCCGCTTAGCTCAACAGTTCGTAGGAAAATCACGCTCAACACGTCAGATGGGGCGTTTAATTTTGAGGGCGCATTGCATTGTGGTCTTTGTTTGCAAGCATGTGGTTCATATGAGGCAGGCAGAGTAAGGCCCGGTTCATACGTCGCATTTCTGCCGTGTCGAATTCAATTCAACGAATTAAATTCGACAGAA